AATCGAATTAATAATTATCAATCAAAAACCAAAAAAAAAACATGACTTTCTGATGGATTATTATTCACGTCTTTGATGATTTTTTAATTTGTTGAATTTTCCTTTGGAAAATAGGTCAACGATTATCACTGAGACGCGTTTATAACTTAGATTAATTTCACAACTAACTTTCATACAACAATGGGCAAACAATTTTAAATTCCATCTAACAATGATATCAATGCTTTTGCAATTATTAAAATTGTAAGGAAGTTTTCAAAGAGAATGCCGCAATTTACATGAAACCATTATGGCTTTTATTACTAATTAACAAAATGGTAATTTTCTCTTTAAAATATTTGGGAAATGATATGAAAATATGCAATAAAATGATGTTTAAAAGACAACGAAAGCATAAAAAATTGCAAATTAATTACAAATACTTTTTGAGCAGAGAGGAAATGGACAAAATTGAAAAATTAATTTGAGATCGCCGGCAAACACATTTCTTGTTCGAAGGAATACACTCTTACACCGTGTCATCTCCAGGAAATCTCGGTCAGCTTTCTCTCAGCCCATAATCCCTTACCGCCCTATTTTACCTAAATTTCACGTTCATTTGTCAGATCAAACTATAGCGTAATTTTCCGCTCCAAAGACATCGTCATACGTTTTAGGGAGCGGACAGTTTGCAATGAGAAAAACACCAAAAAGGGAACTAAAAAACTCAGTCGATTCCTTTTCATTCTTTATCGATTGGCAGCGACATTATTTCATTTCTTTAAGCCAAATAGCGCCGACATTCCCACACGCAATAAACCGCCGCAAAGTGCGCAGAGGGGAAGTAATTGAACGGTATTTGAAAAAAAAAGAGTAAAAATAGCAAAAATCTTGAGTTTTCAATGCGATATACTCTACGTTGCGAGGAAACGTATATGCGTGATAGGAATGGATGAGAATCGTACGAACGATTCGAAATGGAAAGATTTAACCGTCGTCATTAATTGCAGATCCAAAGTGAAACTGAAAGAAATAATTGTTCGGATAAATAACGAAAGTCGGAGTTATTATGCAAAGTTCAGATCGCTCACTTTTTTGGCAATATTTTGAGAATTGTGAGAGAAAGAAAACGAGTGAGAAAACACAATTTCATCAATTTCTTTTTGTAATAAAAATTGAAATGTCTGATGTTATTAAACTTAAATTTGACATAATTCGATCCATTTTCCGTCCTATGAGTGTAATACAAATTCCTCCAGACAGAATCGGGGGTCAAGATCTTCTTACAAACCAAACCATTCCTTGTTATAATCCTATTTTTCATTCCGCTAAACATTTTCACTCTCTCTCTCTCGGGAATGTCGGGTAACCCGAAATTAATTCTTAACTACAGTCAAATAATTGTATTTCTTTTTAAGAAATTGTATAATCAAATGATTGTTAATTTGAAAGAATTTCCTAACGAATCACTACTTGTAATCAGTATAAATGAATCTTTCAATATTTCCTAAAAGCAACACTTTCCCATCATAAAAACCGTTTTGTATCTGACTGTTGCCTTAAATATTCCTTCCTTTTTCTTCTAATAAACTAATCTAATCTCTCCAATCAAATGATTAAGCTTGTATTGCTCATAAATTCCTTATAAACAACTATTATCTCTCATTGTAATCTCCATCCCACCTAGCATCTTCCAATAATCAGCTTTTAAAAATGACCATCCACGGGGAGTTGGACCGTTCCGGAGTTCCTCAGTTCAGTTTCACACTTGGCTGATCTTAACTCAACTTCATTTCGTCTCGACTGTTGTATTATTCACTGTTTATCAGTAATAAAGAATCTCAAGAAATCCCTTTGTTTATAACTTTAAAGGGAAATCCCATTTCATCACATCAAATCCAAACCCGAACGGAGTCAAACCCAAATCAATCCACAACTCACATCGACTCAAAGCAGTCAATCGATTCAAGCTAGACCAAATCAATACGAATCAAACTAATCTCAAACTAAATCAATCTAAACCAAATTCCACAACAATTTTTTGGTGCTCGAGGTGAGGTTCAATGTCGACTTCTTTAGCCAAATCAGCTCAACCAACTATCGAAAAAATCCCAAAGCTTGAAGATGTTAGGGAACTGGACTTAACACCACCAGATCGAACCCTGCCGAATGAAGAAATACGACAACAATATGAAATCAAGAAGTGGGAGCATCAAAAACGAAATTAAACGTTTTGAAATGTATGCCGGTGTGCTAGAATCGATTAATCAAAAATAGCTGGATCTTATACAACAAACGGCAGTGACAAAGAGAAAAGAAGAAGAAAAATACGAGAAAATGGTTGACGACAAACAAGGTATTTTAAGTTTAATTAATAACGGTAAAGAAGCCATTATTACTTTAAACTCATACTATGATGACTTTGAAGTAATACTTCGAGAGGATATAGCATGTTCATTGGTCTGTTAAGCAAATTTGCTTGTGGTGTCTCAATTATGACA